CTCTCTTTCTCTCTTAATGGCCCGATCGAAGTAGATTCGATAAATCTTCCAGCGTGGAATTTTCGAAATCGGCCAACCGGAGGCCAACAAGGGGTTGCTCGCGACCCCAATCTCTTGTGTCAGCATCCTGCCCACTTCTTTACTCACCGGTGTGACTCGGTGGGCTCGAAGCCAAGCGACCTTGAACTCCTTTTTCGTCTTCCCTCGCTATATTTGACTTACCTTTTTTCTTTTTTTTTTTTCTTTTTTACTTAAAAGTGAATAGCGACTCTTGAACAACCAACCTTTAATGATTGCTGCGAGGAGGAGTTTCTACCAGTCATTCTTGTTCTACCACGTGTCTTCTTTCTTCCTCGCGTCACGTGTCAAGGAGACACGTAATTAAAAATGGAATGACGCCTTCCTCGCGACAAAATAGATGATTTTCGCGATTCTTTTCCTTTTATGCTTCTTGCACTTGCATTAATTGTCCTCGAGTTCTTTATTTAGATGACAAAACGATATATAAGGATAGAACGATGGAATTTGATTAGAACTCGAATGTAGAATTACGCTTTAATGATTTTCACTAATCGTTTCAATCCCATTGATATATTTTTTGAGGAGAGAATCGCGAGAAGAATAATAATGTCAAACAAATGTATGTGTATGAATTGAAAATTTTTTTACAGAAATATTTATTAATTATGGTACTTTTTGAAATTATATTCAATTTGAGATAACAATGTAATCGATATCTCTCGAAACATGATAATTTAAATTCTGATGTGTTGATTAGAGCGACGTGTCCTCGAGAGCGTTCTCGCTCATCTACGATTGGATGATCAGCCCACAGATCGAAAGTTACCGCCTTCTGCAAAGGGACAATATTCTGGAAATGTTCACCGCCTCTCAATATCTCGGAATTAAAGGTAAACGTATCTCGCGTTCACAAACGTTAAGACAAAAAAGATCGAACACAATTTTTAATCGATCGATATCAAAAAATGAATAGAAACTCTGTCATAAGCGAATGATAATAAGAAGATAACAGAACAGAAGAAGATTTTACACCGATTATAAATTTTTCCTCCCTGTGCTCTACGAACAATCATCCTGTTTACATCGTTCGCCATCAATCTTCTAAATCGCGAGTGCACCGAGTAACACATACATATATACATATATGTCGATGCTTTAAAACTTCGATCTTGCCCCGGCACAGGAGGAAGAATGAAAAGTTTCGAGTCGCGATAGGGAAAGTCTGGCGGCCTCGAGTTTCGTTGAATACGTCACTGTCCAACTCGAAACTTCAATAAACCGTATGAGATCCGGGGTGAAACGGTGTTGCAACGGTGTCTTCGAGCGAAATTCTCGAGCCCTTTTCCCCCACTCTCGAAACTCGGTTGCACATTTCTCATATTTTTCGTATATCGCGGAAACGAGAAGTAGAGATCGCAAGATATATCTCGAACGAATACATATATATATATATTTTTTCTCTCTCTTTGGTGTTCGATAGAATTGGAAGAGCAATGCTGGGCTTTCATCGACAACGACGAATTATTCAGCGAGGACACAGCGTTTCTATTATATTTGGAGGCGAAGAAAGTTCGTAACACAGCTGTTATGGAACTGATGGTGCCGAGAATTATGAAATTCTTCTTGATGTTGGTCAGTACCAAAGACTTCCTCGACCTGGCCGTGGACGAACTTTGCCTTTTGTTGAGGTCCAACTACATTTCGGTCAATAGGTATTTCGATGAAATAACGATGACTCTAGTATCGAGTCGATCGATACCGATTTTTGTTCGTTTGAATTTTGGAACACGACCAGCGAGATGGAAGTTCTCATGTCCGCCGTACGATGGCTGATGCACGACTGGGCGAACAGGAAGGAGAACATGTTGGAAGTTCTGAAATGCGTTCGCTTCGGATTGATCGCGCCGTGGCAGCTGGTCGACGTGAAGAGAAACCCGGAGAATCCTGAATTTATGGAACTGATGTCTTCGCCCGATGTGCAAAAAATGGTCGACGACGGCCTAGCGTAGGGATCGTACTTTCTTTCCTTTCTTCTCTTCCCTTCACACGCGCTTTCTCGAAACAACGAAAGGTTCTTAAATCGCGATTTTTAAAAATTCTGAAAATTCTTCCAGTTTCGTCATTATAAAATATTGGTACGGCAACCAAACGGAGGATTACTATCATTGGATTGATCTGCTAGGGCTCACGGAGCCGACCAATCGAAACTGGGCCGGAGAGGACAAGGTATCGAAATTGAATTTCTAAAACTTTCGTTTCGTATTATTATATAAGAAACGTTTTTGAATGAAATTTGTCG